TGCCCCTCCCCCTCCCTGCGGACCTCCTCCCCACGACCGGCCCCGTCCCTGCGGGCGCCCGGTCCCCGCGTCTCATCCCCGAGGGGCCTCGAACCTGTGGCCCTTCGTCCTCGCGGGTGCCTTGTCCTTGCTTCCCAACTCCTCCGGTCCCTGCGGGCGTCTCGTGCCCGCCGCCCCCTCCCAGTCCTCGCGGGCGCACCGGCCCCGCGGACGTCTCATCCTCGCTGCGCCTCGTCCCCGCGGCCCCGGTCCTTGGTCCTCGCGGGCGCCCGCTCCCTGCCGGCCGCCCACCGCATCCCTGTGGGCGTCTCGTCCCCGTGGCCCCCCATCCCCGAGGGCTCCCGTCCCCGAGGGCGTTCGGTCCCCTCGACCCCCCTGTCCCCGCGGCGCCCGGAGCCCGCAGTCTCCTCTCTTCGCGGCCGCCCTGTCTCAGCGGGTGCCTCGTCCCCGCGGCCCCGCTGCTTCCCCGCGGGGTCCGGTTTTCGCGGCGTCCCATCCCCGCGCCTCGCACAGAAAATTTCTGTCTTGGAGTTCGCCTTAGCACCTCTCCCCGTCTAAGCACTGACCATATAGTTGTTCCTCCGTGTCGCTGGCTCTGGGGGTGCCGTAGCTAGTGCTAGCCGGGCTGGGCTTGGAAGGACTCTCCATGTCTTAAGTGCTGTCGAGGAAGTTGTGCGCTTCTGCGGACCGCAGCGGCCCGCGGCGATGGCTGGTAGAGGAAAGAGCTCGAACTGGTGGCTGCGCCCGTGCGTTTGCGGTGTGGTCTTGGCGTCCCACTGCTTATATAGTGGTACAGTGCGCCCCTCAGGTTCGAAGAATACGCGCGCACCATAGGTTGTTACATGCCCTCCTATCAGAATTCCTAGTGCTTCTCTTTGGAGTGGGCGGGACCTGATGGTGGCGCGCTTGTGGCCAGGACAAATAAATACAATAGCACGAGTGTGTGCGCCAGCGGCGAGCGAGCGCAGTGCCGATAGTGGGCATGCTGTGCGGAAAACTGGGTCCAATTTGCAGCCAAACTACATATTCTCAACTAGCGCAGGGTGCCCGGCTAGGGGAAACGGTTGTGGGGACTGTGAAAGTTTAGGGACTGGGAGCAAGATCTCATGCCAGCATGTGGCCTTGGTGAATCCGTGCAGAATGTCCCCCCCACCCCCGCCAAACCTAGATGTTCTGTATCCTGCGTGTGGACTTGCCCAAAGGAAAAGACGGAGATTTAGGGCTGGGCAAAGCTCAGAGTCCTCAGCAGCCCAAGTATGCGAAAGTTGAATTCGTGTAGTGCGCACTGGGCTGTGAGCAGGACTCTCCCCTCCAAGTAGTTGGCGACTAGGGCATAGAACTATCTTGGTTCTGCATCTCTTGAGCTCGGAATCTCCGTGTCGGGCTTATAAAATGTAACTGTTGGCTGGGAGACTGCTTGTTCTGAGTTTCTGAAATCAAACCCACCCCTTCTTGTGCACTCCAGGAGCAGGAGGTTGGGGCTGGGTTTGCAGAGCAGTCTGGGTGTTCAGCGGCACTTTGCAAGAAACCCTAAGTACCTTTTGTAAAAGTTCCGAGGACTAAAGATTTTCAGTAATGAATGCCAGTCGGAATGCAAAGTTAGAAATTTGCCAAATGCTCAAGTTTTGGTCAGGTGCCACTCGCAACCTTTGCTAAGCTGTGTTGCTGTGCTTCCTATTGCAACCCCTTTTCCAAAAGCCCGTTCTGCAGAAAGCCGCTCTTTGAGCTGAAGCGCGCGCGCGTTGCCTTTCCCGGGTCTGTGCGGTAGACCCCTAGGAGAGTTTCCTGCCAACTCCACGAGGACTCCTTTCTCTTCCCCCTCCCTTTTTCTAGAACTATCTTCCAGTGTCCCGCCGCCCTAGTAATGTATCGAATTTTAAAGGGCACCATTTTAAAATCCGAAAGGGCACAGAAATATGATTGAAAGCTGTATGCTTCCCCCGGTTGCTAGGCGGTGTTTACAGGTATACAGGACGTTAATATTCTTAACATTAGAAAAATAACTTTTAATAATTGGCCCTAATGCTTGACGCTGTACATGATTTATGCTATTTTATTTTCACAACCACAATTGCTATTATTCCCATTTTTACACAAAACATTTAACCCTAGAGAGGCCAGGCGACTTGCCAGCAGTGATACCGGCTTTTTTCACTACCGCATTTGCGCTCTTTTCAGCCTATTACTGCTGTCTTAATTCAGAGAAGTATATGACGGTGTTCTTGGTAGAAGCGGCTGAGGAAGATATCTTTTGGAAGAAGTGGTCAGAGTCTTTACAAATCCTGTATGTGGGGGATCTCCCCCTCCTCTTGCTAATTTGGGCCTCTGTCTTTTGGACCCGGGCCTCACTGACTTTCTGTAAGTCAAAGGTCTGGGACCCGGCAGTGCTGGGTTTCCCAGCCCACTTCTACACACTTGCTCATACTGAGGGACAATTAATAGGGCGTGTCCTACATGTATGGGTTGATGAGCTGGTTTTTAAAAGACTCAAGAGGGAGAGGTCTTGAGATTTATCTCTATGTCAGGGTTACGGTATGACTTTTGTGGGTCCTAGGCATTTTTGTTCTTACCAGTCCCTTCTTAATTTTGTTTTGTTTGTTTTATGAGATGGGGTCAGTCTCGCTGTGTAATTCAGCCTGGTCTCAAACTCACTATGTAGCCCAGGCTCGCCTCAAACTCGCATTGATCTTCCTGCCTGAGCCTCCTGAGTGCTGGGATTAGAGCGTGCATCACCATGCCCAGTTTAAACAAATATTTAAAATTGTATTTTAAAACTGCATTGATATAAAGATGAAATAATCCAGGTTTGGTTATATTACTTTTTCTCTCTGATTTCAAAAGAGCTTAAGACATTTTCAGAGGCCCCTAAAATGATGGGCCCTGGGCGTTGTAACTACTGTGCCTGATGGATAGGTCTTCCTGCCTCATGTTCCCATGAGGTGGTGGGTAGAAAATCAGCTAACAGACGGTTTGTGGACCAATTCACTTTCAAGATGTAAGAGATGGCAATCCCAGAGCCTCTGATTTTAATCAAAACCATTTCCTCCTTACATTGGCTCTTGCTGACTTTTGCAGGCTTTCTTCTCTTTTGTCTAGATACCTGGTGCACAAATTTGGCCTGGGATGAAAAAATTCATGCTAGTTTTAATCGAGGTGTATAGTAGCTTACCTGGTACATTGTGACGGGTATGTTCTGTCACATCTGATTTGCAGTTTCCTCATTTTCTAAAACTCATTCATGCGCCCCTTTGCAAATTTTGTCATATGTAGGAATCAGATAACTTTTACTTAACATGCTTACTTAAATTGATTCAGTTTTTGAAAACCTTAAATGTGTAATTGAGCCTTATCCTGGAAAAAACCAGCTATGAATTCAAGGGTTTGATGTACCATATTTATGGGAGGTAGAGCATAGCAATATTTGAGAGCAGGGGATCTAAAGCTAAACTGCTGGCAATCTGAATCCTGGATTTGCTGGCCCTTCACTAACTAGCTAACCTGGCGAGCTGCTTATTCTCCCTGTGCCTTAGTTTTATCATCTGTAGAATGGGAATAACCAATAGTACTTACTTCCTGGGGTTGTTGTGAGGATTAATTGAGGTGGTAATAACTAACATAAGCTAATTCTTACCAAGTGCTTTATTTTATGAACACAGTTATGGCTTGTAATAACCCTGTGGACGTAGTATTAACCTCATTTTATAGTTGATTATACTCAGGTATAGAAAGATTATGTAACGTGCTTAAAGGATGCTAGGTGATAAGTGTTGAACCCTGGTTTTGAACCTAGTTTCTTAGAGTGATGTTCTATAAAGAGTGCGTGTGGAGTAATGGTAGCTATTACAATTTAAAATTTGTTGTATTTTTGGAGTACAACTCTGCCATGGTGAAGGATAAATTTGAGACATTTGTAGAAAAATGAGTGCACCTTGAGATCATAAGGTAAAATAAATCACTAAAGCTTAGATATCACATGATTTCTCTTAGGTGATAAAACCAAAATATAAAGAAAAAAAATAGATAATAGGAAATAAGGAGATAGATCTTTTGCAAAAGGGAAAGGACCAAGAGATGGAGGTGGAGAGGAGGAGAGAGGAAGGGGATGAAAAAGAATCATGGTGTGTTATGTGCGTGCACCAGCCCTCCATGAGCAATGTGATCATCATGTCCTTAAACACGTGCATATAAAAATAAAAACTGAAGAAAAATATAATGTTGTGCAACCATCACTATGAACTAATTCCAGGACATTTTCTCCACCCTATAAAGAAAACCTGTATCCCATCTGTCCCCTTTGCAGCCCCTGGTACCCAACAGGGTACTTTATGTTTCTGTGGATTTTTTGATTGTGGATACTTTATATGCAGTAATCCCCCCTTCTGTGTGGCTTTATGTTTTGTGGTTTTAGTTACCTGTGGTCAATTGCAGCCAGAAAATGTGAAATGGAAAATTCCACAAAAAAATTCATGAGTTTTAAATCGCATGCCAGTGTGACTAGTGTGAGGAAATCTCACATTGTCCCACGCCATCCCACCAGGGATGTGAATCATTCTTTTGAGCATATTCGTGCTGTATATGCTACCTGCCCAGTAGTCACTTAACAGCCATTGTAGTTATAAGACTGTCTTGGCATTTCAATGCTTATGTTCAAGTGATCCTTCTTTTACTTAATAATGCTTTTCCCCGAAGCCAGACGTAGTGGCACACACTTGTAATTCCAGCACTCTGGAGGCTGAGGCAGGAGGATCTCTGTGAGTTGGAGGATAGCTTGGGCTACAAAGTGGGTTCGAGGCCAACCTGAGCTGCATAGCAAAACCCTGCCTCAAAAAGATTAAATAAAAGAGTCACACTTAATAATGCCCCCAAAGCACAAGATAAGGGATGCTGGAAATTGAGGATATACCAAAGAAAAGCTGTACAATGCTTCTTTTAAGTGAAAGGGTGAATGTTTCTGGCTTAAGGAAAGAAAAAGTTGTATACCAAGGCCAATGAGATTTAGGGTGAAAATAAATCTTCTATCCATGAAATTGTTAAACTGGGAAAAAGAAATTCAAAGCTGTAAGTGCTGAGTTAGGACGGGAAAGGCATTATTAGGTTTGTGGGAGGAACGTATGTTGCACAAGAAAGTATCGAACCTATGAGAGGACTATAGCAAGGAATCTCCTGAAACTAGTGACAGCAAGTACTTTACTGCAGTAAAGGATGCCTACCAGATTCTGGAATAGATCTGGATTTAAAATTACTGGAGAGGCTTTGTCTGCTGATGAAGGAGCTGCTACCACATTTCTGCAGAGTTGATGTTGATCAAGGAGAAAAAAGTATCATTCTAAGAGTATCATCAGTTGGAACGCAAATGGGCTCTTTTGGAAGAAGATGTCCAATAGAACCTCAAGTGTTTGAAGAAGGCAAAGGTCACAAAGCACAGAGGGCTAGATTAACTCTGACGCATACAGTAAAATAAGATATTTTGAGAGAGAGAGACAGAGGGAGAGGGAGAGAGAACACATACCCATCAGTTTTACTTTAGTATAATGTTATAATCGCTCTGTTTATTATTATTGTTTTTAGTCTCTCACTGGGCCTAATTCATAATTAAGCATTAATTTTAAATAGTTTGTATATGAGTTTAGTACTAAGTTTCAGCCATCTACTGGCGATCTTAACACGTATCTTCTGTGGATGGAGGATTACTATGAACAGAATAATATAATATTTGAAAGTTGGTTTCTTTGTTGTGTTTATCTTTTTTTCTTTAAAATAAGAAAAGAATCATAATATATGTGCCATTGTGTCTGGTATCTTTCACTCAGCATGATTGCTTTTTAGGCTCAT